AAGGGCAATAGATAAGTTTCTAATAGCGGGCCTATTAAGAGTGCCCTCGCGTCCTACGTCACAGTTAAGACGCCGAGAAAAATGCCGATCGAGGATCCGAAGATTTAGGCGGCAGTTTCAAATGTGCCTACGTTTAGTGTTATTTCCTAAACGGGAACCATTTGTTTGCATGCACGATCAAGGAGAAAATATACGCAAGACTCGAAATGGTTTCCCCGAAGTGTTTATGCGATTGCTCGAAGGAAAGTGCACTTTTATATCATTGCTCACATCTCAACGCTTTGCAGATGGAAAACAAATTGTCGCTTACACTCGCAATGCATAATACCTTCGTAAGAAATCTTAATGTGTTTTAAAGTAAAAACTGTTCGCTTCGTCTCTTTAGCTGCTTGGTTGTATTGTCGCAGTGCAATAAAATCCTACGGTTGCTGGTAATCGATATAATTCCTAAGTAATGGTCTAATAATCTAGACTTAGTCATCAGTTTAGTAAACGGAATCTAATCATAAACTGACACAATTTAAGATAGACTTAAATTAAACGTGTTTAAGTTAAATGAAGTTTATATTATTTTAAAGAACTAAAAAGGATGTCGATGTGAAATAATAAGTTTGATAATATTATTTATTATTTTTCAAATGTTTTCGACGACTTAATGTTCTGTTCGTGTGGTAATTTTAATGTATATAAGGTATATAATGAAATCATGAAAAAAAAAGTTCCAAACGTCGGGCCGTAGTTAAAAATAATTTTTAAATAAGTTTACCAAGTTTATATCGTGTTTTAAAGGGTTAAGTGTTTTATTTAAATGTGTACTACTCGCGTAAACCACAAAGTGTTTAGTTTTTTTCTTATATAAATAGCAACGTTAATAAATTTCCTCACACAATGCTTAATATCTTAGAGATGTAATGGCATTGTATGAAAAGGGTCTTTAAATCGATTTAAATTTCTATTTGTAGGAAAGTCCCAGGTGTTATTCTGCCTTGAAGTTCATGTAAGTGGGCGGAGTCTAAAAATGAACTACATCAACACACTTTGCGTCGCTTTGTTGTTAAAATTCATGGTAAGCGGAAGCAATTAGGGGAGTAATGTAAGGACGTAATGGAGTGACGAGAATTTGTGAGCGTTTTAATAGGAGGTAGTATTTATGCTGCAAAATGCAACAGTGACACATCTAACTAAAGTGTTAATCCGCGAATTGTAAGCTAAATCTCTATTCAACGCTGTTATTGTATGAAAAATCCAGATTTTAAATGTAAATATCGCCTTAATGATTGATATCAAATGTGAGAGGTCCTTGTTCGAACTCCATAATAAGTAATATCTGTTATACAAAAGATTTAAAACGCTATATATGTATGTGAATACTTAAACTTATATGTTTCACGTTTAAACCCGTTAAAAGTGTTTATTTCACTGGTGACACTTAAGCTGACAGACTGATCAACTACTTGGCTCTGAATAAAACAAATATAATGATTTCAAGTTCAAAATATATTTCACGTTTTAAACGGTTCAAAATGTTCTATTTCACTTGTAACACTTCGCTACAGATTGATCCATTACTTGCCGATGAAAATAATACTTTTAACTGTTGAAACGCTGAAAAAATAATTTGTCATATTACGTCCTGCCAGTTAATAAAAATAGATCAATGAAACAGAAGTGGAGACGTAAAGGTCCCATACCCCACCTACAATTTTATACTGTACATTTGCATATTAACATAATGATAATAGAGACATATTAAATTTACGAGGACACTCGGCGTAAACATGACGTGACGCCACCGATTTCTTTATTGCCAACATAACTATTTAGATAGCTTTACGATATAGTGGAGAATTTTTAACGGCTGCCTTTGTTTACGATTCTTAAATATTAATCTTAGCGTCGAATGGGCGGCATAAATTCAAAACAATGTATTTTCTAAATGTAACTTCATGCCTGAAAATGTTTACGAAAACAATGTAAAAAGCGAATTTGCCGTAACATTGATCATTCGCGCCGGCACGCAACGGCAAAGGGGAAAAAATAATAAGCGATTACTTTCCCGTTTTATCCTTCATGCTTCAGAGACGCTTACTGAATTTCTTCCTCGACTTTGTGTAAGTTAAAATGAATAACACTATTTTGTCAAAGATCGCTGTTGCCAAGCTTTAGTTGTTTGTGATATTTTATCTTTTGTAAAGTATTTTTAGTGGGATCGTATCGTCTATAAAGAAGTGATTTTTGTTTCCAGTTTGGATCCTATTTTACTGATAGAATTATTTACAGACAATCTGTTTATCAGACTTCATAGGCAGAATCTAGTTTTTGAATATGGAAGCTATATGGAGCTTTTTTTACTTTTTACATTAAAAATTTAATTGTTTTAGAACACTCACTCTCATGAAACTGAAATACCGACCCCACGTGGGGCATGGGTTTACAACCAAGTAGTTGAACAGACTTCTTGTTCTAACAATCAATCTATTGTTTCTCTGGATTCGAACCCAGGACCTCTCGCGTTAAACGCAATGCTAGGGTACCACTAACAGGTAACCAATGTACCAGAACTTCCTCTTCAATCATATACACCGTATTATGGATTTAATTAAATTATTTTTCCTTTTTATAGCGTCTATAATAATCGCTAATACGTCTCAAAGCAATATAAATTGACGTTATCTAGAAGGCACACAATGCAGAAACGAATTATGTTCCACCACCACCAGGTCCCCACAAGTTTCCTGAAACATGCTAGCCTTCCTCTGGAAACCTGGGTATTAAATCGGTGGTAGGAATATAGAAATTCCGTCCGGGTCACGAAACACCGTCCACAGATGAAAAAGCCGTGAAGCTTAATCGCGTTTCGGTTTCAGTCAAAGCCAAAAAAGGTCAGCAACACATCTTGTTTAGATGCTATAGGCTGCGCCATATCACTTACCATCTAGTAAACACCATTTCTCTCCTCGTCTATCATAAAAAAGCGTTAATAAAAAGCTAGCTTCTTTTAAAATTAGTCACCCGGATTGCAAGACTGACGTTTTATTAACGACTACGACGAATACATTAGAGCGGCTTTCGCTCTTTGCACACCTCTCGTTTCGCACGGAAGCGAACCGTAATTACTCTAAAACACTACCCATTTGTTTGATGTCTTTGTTCGTTGTTTGCTCCACTTAGGGCGTACATCAACCCGATTTCTTCCACCCGACACATGCAACTAGATTCGTAAGAGATAATACGGCGAGACAAAATCACGCATTAATAATTTTGAATGCGGTTCGAAGTGTGGGGTGTCTCAGTGTCCCTATGTACTTAGCTAAAATAGACCATACTGATTTATCTAAACCGTTTCTGAGTTTTCCATCTGCCCACTTTTTGATATAACCATGAATTTTTATTAGATCTTCATTAAATTATGGCACACCGCCGAGGCTTGTTTTAATTTTAGCGAAATAGCTTCGTAACATAATACAGTTGATAACTAAATTAGTAATTTTGTGCTTACGGCAGTGCTAATTACACAGTAATTACTTTTATTAACCCTATCAAAATTTACGGCACGCAATTGTTTATTTTGATGTGTAAACATTTTTGTTTAACTACCTAATTTACAAATTGGTATCCGTATTCGATGCTGTTCCACGTATTTCTGATTTATTGATAATAGCCTAATTGTGTACACCTAGCTAAAGTATTATCTGATGTTTTTGGTTTAACGAAAATAAGCGTTGATCGCTTATAAAAGCAACTATATTCCAGTGAATTTTGTCAACTATCGTCTGTTTCTTATATACACAAGTACACACTTAAATAAAACATATCTTAATTGATTAAAACACAAAACGTTCGTTAACTTATTTTTAATTTACTATTGCTAACTTTACTTTAACTAAGACCGACCTTTAGGATGCTTATTTTTCTGTTAAATTCTGATTAGTTGTATAAAACTTGGTTGATGAGCAAAAGGTAAAATATAAGTTGAACTTACTTTTTATATACTGTCTATAGTTTACGCGAGTAGTACACATTTAAATAAAACAGTTTAACGGTTTAAAACGCGATATATTAGTTAAACTTATTTGGAAATGATTTTCGTGACCACGGCTGCTGCAAAGCATCCGAAACGTCGGGCCGAAGTTAAAAATCATTTCTAAATAAGTTTAACTAATATATCGAGTTTTAACCGTTAAAGTGTTTTATTTAAACTTACTTTTTATTTTTACAGCACATAATAAGAAATAATTTCTATAAATTACATGGAAAATTAAAACTGCACCGGACAATTCTTCAAACCAGACCAATATATATAAGATGAACGTGTTTAAACATAACTTAATAACATTAAGATAGATTAGGATGAGACGAATTTATGTTCGACAAATCGAACTATCATTATTGCCCATTAATGCCCTCGTTTGCCATAAAACCCGGGTGACATTCCAAATGTAGATGTCACAGACCACGACAGACTACAGACAAAAATCTAAACACAGTGGAATCGAGTTTTAGTGGCGTTTTATTGGCTCGCTTGGAGCGAAGCCAGCAGTTCTTTCACCTCTAATTGATATCGAATCGAGTATGTTAACGCTAAGACAGTTTGTTTCTGGATTTACTCTGATTGATGTGTCAATAAAACGGATTTGTGTACTGTCTGAGTGTCATTTCAAAGGATATTCTTGCGCAAGATTTTTTAGCCGACAATAACATAGACAAACGGATGTTTTCACTATGTATGTGACACAAGAGCGTTTAAAATTGTTCGTTAATAATTAAAATAAAATTAATAATAATAACAAAATGTTTGTTAATAATGCGCCATGAACAAGAAGTTACGTAACCAAAGAAAAACTATTAAGAATATGATTCATAAAATTAAAACATGGGAGTTTAAATTCTTAGTTAAAAAGTTTAGTATTAAATAAAATCTGTTATTTCTTATACCAAGCCCCACTGAAAAATACGAACTAATTTTACTGTCATAATAATAAAATTATAATAGAACTTACCATTTTGTTGTTGATTTCGTGAAAGTGTATTTCGCAAACTTTGTCTACTATGTCTTCACTTTGAAACGTGACAAATCCAAAACCTGAAACAAATGAAGTTTGTTCGTTAATAACGAATTAATATTTAATGAAATTATAATAATTATACAACAAATAGATTGATTAGAAAACATAAGGATGTCTTTGTTCAAGTAGTATCTTTAATAAATTCAAAACAGATGGCGTTTGCAATGGTTGGTAGTGTTTTATTACACACACAGCGAATTTAAGATATATCTTTAACACACACATACATACGAGTATATCGTAGTTATCTTGTGAATGACGTCTCACAAAAGTCCTACAACAAATACTTTTTCTTTGTAAAGGATTCTTGAGCGAGAACTCTAGAAAGTTTTTCTCGATATTTCTGTAGCAATCAATGTCGTGTGACGTCAGCGCGACGACAGTAAAAAAGGAACTTTGCCCGCACAGCGGAAGGAGGGGAGAAGCAAATAAAATGGCCTCCCTATTAAAATTTCACCTTTATTTTCAATTTGCAGCAGTTGTTCTGTAGTACATATTTCATATCTAAATTATTTTCACTGAGTTTAGTCTATTCAATTAGTTTTAATATTAGTTAAAAGGTTGCCTAGAATTGAGCAAATTGAGAGGTTGTACTTTGACATTCCTGGGAAAATGTTCACGTAGGTATATTAAATCAATAAGATGGATATGTCTGCCCTATGGTGTTTCTTACATTTGAAATGTAAGAAAAACCAGTGGTTAAAGTTGTGGAAATCTAGGAAAGTTATGTCAGTAAATCAGTTATAACTCATTTTATACAAAAGCACGAAATGGAAAAATAATATACACATTCGAACTTCAAGCCCGGTGTAATAAGTACGAAGAACGATATTAATAAACATTCGGTGCCCTCGCAATAAAATCAGCTTACGAGTGAAAATTGAATAAGTGGTTCGGAGTATCGACAAGCTCGAATATTACTTTTAAACGTCGCCAGACACGTGGCCGCTGCAACGGCCAACTTTGCTGATACATTCCCGTTCCGACTCAAAAGACCGCGCAAGTTTTCCTCATGCGATTCATGAGTAACAAATTTGAATTACGTATTCGAAACTCGGAATTGCTTTTCGATATTTACTGAATTCCGAACAAGTTTTAAAGCTTACAATCTGTCAACGAAAACATATATCCGTCAAGTTTGCGTACGCCGAATATCAGAACGCTCGAGTTTTGCGAACAAAATGTGACGAGGTGTATTCTTGCGTGTTAACGATTAAGACACACAGGGCGACTTGTCCCTCCCAGTAAATAGCATTACCCCGCCTTTGCAAACAGCGTGTGACGTCATCGGTAGAGAAATACTGTAACTCTACGACAAACTAGCTAACTCCTGTTTGCTGACGGGTTCCTCCAACGTGATATCATTTGGATCGAGATGTAACGTAAGCAATAACTACTAGTCAACTTCAAATATGACAGTTTCGAATTGATTGGGGACGTATTTGAACATTTAAGATTCCACATTCCAAAATACTAAAAACTACACAGACTAACTATGTATATATAGCTATATGTGTGTATATTTAAAGATGCAAACCCACGACCACAGTATTATTGCGAGAGGTATATAATAATATGGACGAGGACGGGTGACTTGGCAACAGCACGAAACGCCGCAATTGGGGGTTTGAGTCTCGTTAGCCTCATTGATTAACTTTATTACTTTTTTTATTTTTATAAAGCTACTATATTTAATTTTTCGTGTTTCGTGTGGCTTGTTTTTTTTTCAAATTAGAATTCAATTTGTTTTTACGAAAGTGTAATTTGAAAAAAATGACTTGACTTGACAAGAACGCTTTCACAAAAACTAGGCCGTATTTGGTATTTCACGCGCGACCAAATGGCTTTGCGTAGGAATTGAGGCGAAGATAGTAACCCCGAAAAGGCAAAAAGCGGTTCAGTAGAGTTCCATAGACGGTTTTCTTTATGCATTATAAGGTCGGCGTTATTATGTAGGAAGAAAAATCGTTTCCGCTCTATTGTCTACGGAATAAATGTGATTTGAAACAATGTAAGGGATGCGTGACAAAGTTCATAGATTATAAATATAACTGGGGCGCCGTTTAGATATTTATGTAAGTGGACTGTGGTAACGATTCTCCTATATATGCGGGTCTGCAAATGAAATGAAGTGGGAAGGGGAAGGCGATACATAGTTCAACATGAAAGTTGTCTGCGGGCGCGACTTTTCGGTAAATACCTGATCGAGTTATAAGTACTCTTTATATTGAGTTCAGATTTATCGAAACTAGTATCTGAATTTACGTACTCTATGTTAAATAGAAGACATGAAACGGTTCAAATCGTAAAATATACTACGACCCGAAATTCTGGATAGAAAGCTGTTTAAAATCAATTGTAAATAAGTTTTAAGCAATTTGGGTTTTAAACAAATAAAAATGTTTCATTTAAATGTGTGCTACTTGCGTAAGCTCAGGCAGTACTTTACTTTGCGTACTCTACGAAAATTGATGAATGATATAAAATAATATTATAATAAGCAAAGAATTACTGAAATGAATTTCTGTAATTCTTTGCTTATCATTCTCACATCATTATTGTAATATTGTAACTCCATTTTTTAAACTAGTAATATGTTAATACTAAATTAAGTACTGATTTATTTTCAAAACTTAGACTTATAACATCATAAATGTTAGTATACATCTTATTTTTTTGTTAACATTAATACAATTAAACTTACCTCTTGCTAACATTAAATAAGAATATAATAATATATATAATTTTTCAATTTAAATAAGTTAACTTTATGTTTAGTTCCTATAATATAATAAAACATGACGCTTTGGAAACACGTCTAAAAATAAAATGTATTTTGTGGACAATCATTGTATGTCAACATGAGTAGTATTGATTAGTCGACGAATGGAAATATAATATCTACAATTTCCCCAAATGTTAAGAGAATAGAGAGTAAAAGCATTATCGCTGGACACGTAAAAAGTTTTGGGTTTCACTCGGCTTTGTATTCCCCTCCAGATAAATGGGGCATTCCGTGAGATTCGTCCGCGTCACTACGCGTAACAATAAAGAAGATAAATAATCTCTGCGTAAGAAAAGGATTCCGTAAACATAATTATTTGAACTCGCAATTGTTACGGGAACACGCTAATGAAAGTTCTAGACGGCTTTCGAGAAATCGACTTTATTTTTCTTTGCTTAAATTGAAACGCCTTGACTTATTCTTCAATTAGAAATACGATCAAAATCAAATATTTCGTTTAAATCGCATTAAACCTCTAAAATTTATAGATATTTGTTGATGTTGTCGACTTTCATAAGCTGTGTCTCTTGTTAACGCGAGTAGTACACATTTAACGGTTTAAAATGCGATAAATATTAGATACACTTATTTGAAAATTATTTAAACTACCCGACGTTTCGGAAACTTTGCAGCAGACGTGGTCACAGGGAGACTCTCCTCGTGACCCCGTGACGTTAAAGTGTTTTATTTTAATGTGTCTCTTGTGCTTTAGTGTTTGAAAACTTTACTTAAAATGGTTAAATAAGTGGAAGATCTATATTGATGATCTATAAAAATATTAAAAATAAATAAACAATTCAAGAGTAGTCGTAAATATAACAATATTTTTATATCACACAACGGTTTCAAATAACACAAGACATGCTCGCACCTGTTATTTTTTTAATATAAGAAACGAAAGATTGAAGTATAGATTATGAATGTCTTCAATATCGAATATCAGAGGCATCTGTCGGCACGTGGGGTTGACAGGGGGCGGCCCCGAGGCCCATATCAGGGCCAGGACAGTATAATAATCTGCCCCGCTACTGTATGTCCGTAGTGCGGGCGTAGCGCGACTTAAAGCAAGTGTGAAACATGTGAAACGCTTATAAACCTTCCTAATCGCTTTAATGGCCAGTTTGTCCTCTATCTTTAACCCATTAGGGGTCATCCATAAAGTACGTCGCACGAATTTCATGATTTTTTTGAGATCCCCCCCCCCCCGTCCTTGTCACAGGTGGTCACATTTCCGAGATCCCCCTCCCTAGTGTGACGTCACATGTTTTGCAATTTCACATCGAAAAATTTTAATTTACATTTACAGAAATATGTGACCACACGCTTAGGCTTGTCGCGCCCGCCCAGGCCTAAGTCACCACGCGAGTACTGTAGACGAACACTAAAACACCGGCCGGTGGCATTTATGACACTATAATAATCGTATAAACGCGACGCGTTGGCGTCAATAACAATATACTAGCACTACTGTAGTCTTCAAATACTTGAAATGTCGATTCGTAAAAATCGAGCGAAAAACTAAGCAGACTTTTGACGAAATAAAAGTAATGTTCAATGGGTATCAAGCAAGTTTTCATTAGGGGCACAACGAGCACTCAGCAGCATTTGAGCAGCGCTGAACTTGTCCGCTGCCCGCTCCGAAGTCCGAACTTTTGTTATTGTTTCGCTTCATTATTGTAATACGAAATACGCAGCCATAATTAAGAGATGCCAGGGAATTGTCCCATCTGATGTAATAGTTACAGAAAAGTTCCACCAACTTTCCTGACAGGATGTTTGGTTCGTAAATAATTGCCGGATTGCTTCTTCCACCTCCTTTCGATAATAAGTTAATATCGATAGTTATTAGCGCGGAATAGATGGCCATAAGCAAGATAAATGGCTTCATGTCGGACGTTTGCTATTAGCAGTAGTCAAAAAGCTACTGAATTATTATATTTATAATAAATCACATTCTATGATAGACTAGTGTGGGGTTTACTTGATTGAATGGCTCTAATCCACAGACTGAAATCGAAATGAGATTAAACTTGACTTCTTTTTCATCGCCGGGTTTTCGGAACGGATTTTCCGATTTTCCTGCCACCAATTTTATCCAACAACAAGTTATAAATTTGGTCAGAAAGCATTACTTACTTACGTTCGTTATTATTTGCAATATACTAATAATAATAATACATAACAATAATGCATATACTATTTAATATATATACATAAAAATGTATTACAATG